TTCCCTGTCATTTATAAAACAAAGAAAAACATTTAAAGATGGGAAAAATAACTCATAAAAATTGGCACGGGGGGGTGGGCCACAAAACTGAAAGCACTTGCAACATTTTTCACCTAGTTAATTCTTATTTTTTCAACCACTATTGTTAATTCCAAATTTAAATGAGCCAGTTCAGCAGAAAGCTTTCTCTATCTTAGGCAAACCACTGCAACAGCAAAGGAGCAAATGCCATCCACCCCACCCTTCCACACCCTTTTCTACCCCAGCCCCGGATCCAAGAAATAATGAGACTGCTTTGGGGTGTAATGTTGATGCATTACTTTGGACTTGCACTGGTGTATCCGTGATCGTAATTTGGCCCTTAAGAGCCTTTAAGCTACAAAAAAGCACTGCAGACAAGTGTGCTTTTTCAAGCTGGAGGGGCCGTGACTAGCATTCTCTGTCCAGACCTTCTGATGGCTTGGAAAAAATGCTCAAGATGCACTTGAACATCTCCAAGGGAAAATTTCCTTCAGGAAACCAGGAAGGAACTGCATATGGGAGCACTTGACACGTTCCTGGCTCCGCATCACCCTGCGTGCCTTACAACCGAAGCAAACACACAGCACACCAACACACCCACCCCTGCAGCTGCTCACATACGAGCACACACAACGCAGGCCAGGGGAGATGCCCACGTGTGACCGTGGCCACACGCAGATGCATGCCACCAAACCCAAGTGCATAGGGCCTGCATGGGCAAAAGACTGCCATGCCCCTCTCTCGTGCATCTGCACGCAGATGTATGGGAACGGCTGCACACCTATGTGTAGGTCCACCCATGCCCTTTGCACACCCACAGAAGCACGCACGAGGCAAGGTTCCCCCCTCAAAGGAAATAAAACCAAGCAAGAGGCCATAAAGCCTGGAGGGGAAGCGGGAGTTTTGCTGGAGCAGGCACCTGCTCTGTAGTGGGTACTTACAATGGGGGGGATCGCAGCAGCTCTCTGCTTCAGCTGCTTCAGGTCCAACGGCTTCTGAGGCGAAGAGTTCAGCCGCGCGTCGTTGGCAGCATTGAGGAGGCTGGGCCTTGGAGACAGCAGCCTATGCACAAACACAGATGTCATCCCGAGCCATTTTATTTACAAACTCCATGTTCGATCACACTCCACTGCCTGCCCCGTCTGCCCTGCATGTTTATGATCTTGTTTCCTTCTTAGATGTCAAGCCTAGAGGTCACCTTCCCCACCGGAGAAGAGCCCTGTTGCCACGCTCCACGTTGGTCCATCCCCGCCAGCATAATGTCCTGGCCTGTGCATGTTGCTGACCTCTCTGCCAGGGGCCTGGCACTAAAGCTGCAGCAGTCAGGCTTTTGCTGCTTGAGGTCCCTCGTGTGACAACCAAGATGGGGGCCATCGCTTGGACAAGGTACATCATAGGGCCGCCCAGGCATTGCAAGGCTGCTCGGCGTTCAGCGCTCAGAAAGGTCTGCAACGCTGCTTCAAGGAGACACAGTTGGCCTCGCTGTGCAAAAGGATAATGGTATCTAGGGAACGTGGACCTCACTCGGCTTTGGTCTGTGAGAGGTCATAAGCACACGTCGTGGACCATCCTCCTGTGAAGAAGAACCCATGCAGGACATTGCTCCTCACTAGCTACTACCCTGTGAAAGCCCTAGCCTGGATACACCTAAATTATACCAGTATTTAATTGTACGGTGCAGTTTATACAGTACAGCGCAGCTTGCAACAGGCAGAGCTCCCTTGCCATCGGACGCAGCTATTACGGACAGTGTAGGGAGAGTGGGCCAACACCTTGCTGATGCGATCAGGAGACCTGGTGCAGGAGGAAGAAGAGCAGTACCTGGCTCACTGGAACTCGAGTCCCCCTCACTCAGTGTGGTGCAAAGCAGGGGTAACTCTAGCTAAGCCATTGCAGTACCTGAGGTCTACGTGCAGGCGAGAAGCAGAGCCAGCACATAAGCCCCATCAGACGTTGAGCCGGACTGCCTAGTACTGGTCACCAGTGCAATGCCAATGCCAGCCCACCGGGCTGCCACCAGTGTGCTTGCAATCAGAGCCAGTCCCGGGCATGTGGGAGTCTCTTCCAGCAAGGCCTGGTGGACTGGGAAAGCAGACGTTTGCATCTGGATTTGAGGCAGCCCAGTGGTGAGAGAGCTGAAGGGCTCTGGCATGGCAGGGAAGGTCTGGGAATGTTTTGGAAGATAAGGAGGTGGCTGTGGATGGGATTCAGGGCTGGGTCCGGAGGTGGACGACCCAGCGGCTATCGGCCCGATCCTGGTGAGGCTACGTTGCAGCTGACGGGTAAGCACCACAAGCAAAACGGTGAGGAGGGGGAGGGGAGTAAAACACTGCACAGCGGGCCGAGTGGGATGGTTCCTGCCTGCTCTCCCTAACAAAGAGCGAGAGCGATAGAGAATAAAGGAGCTAAGCAATGGAAATAACAAGCAGCTCCCCATGCGAGCATGTGTCCGCGAGCTAGCACGTCTCAGCACGCGCCTTGGCCGGAGTCCCACTACAGATTGATCCCATGTGTCTGAGTGAGCTCCCCCTCCCTGCAGGCCTCAGCGGACCCATCCTGGCTCTCTGGCACCATGTCTTAACCTTCAGGCAGCTGGCTTGTCCCCAGGTTGGTGCACCTGGGCTGCCACATGGGCCGGCTGGGAACAGCAACCTGGCGGGCAGAGCGGGTCTGGCAGATGGCCGCCCCCACTGCAAAGCTGCTCTGTGTGGCCCTGCCACAGCTGCGCTGCCGTGATGCAAAACGCGGGGCGGGGAGGCACCAGGTGCCGAGTGGCCGAGGGTGCGGGAGCATCCGCGAGTGCCCTTGGCCACCCACCAGGCAGTGGCACAAGCCTTGCTCCATTTGTGACAAAGCCCCGGGTTCTCCCTTCCGGGAATCCCTGGCCTGTGCCCCTAGTGTCCTGTCCCCCTCCCGCTGCTCGCTCTGCATGCACAGGGTTCAGCCCGACACGGCCCAGCATGCTGCCTCCCTGGCCCCGCAGGATCGCCCTCCTCAAGGAGCTGCTTCACCACCTGTTTGTAGTAGTGCCCAGGACACTGGTGAGGGATTTGCAACTGCTGGCACCCTCGCTGTCTATCTGCTGCGGGCCAGGCTGGGCTCCCCTGCAGCACATCCCTTACACACGCAACGCGGCACAAGCAATGGGACCGACTTCCATTCGCTGCCACGGCAGCGGGATGTGGCAGAGGCACTTGCCGGCCCCCCTTTCTCCGGGCCAGTCACTTCCACGTGCCCTCCAGCCTACCTGGAAGGGGCAAGGAGCATCACCCCCCATGTCTCAGGCGGACCAAACCCCAAGGGCCAAACCTGGAGCGTGGGTGCTCCTGGCTCCCAGGCCTGGGCTCAGACCGCTGCTCTGCGTCTCTCCCAGCCCCGCTCATCTCCCACCTCCTAGCTGCTGGAGGCGGCCCATAGTTTTAGGGTTTACAGATCGCTCTGTTTATTTTAGCTGTTATTTCTCTGCTCTTTTCAGCCTATAAATTTCAAGGTCATCCTGTGTTCACCCTTGGATGAATAAACAAGTGTGGCCAGGCCATGTGAGGGGAATAAATCCATCTCTTGCGTTGGGATCCCATCCCCCTCCCCCTGCCCCAACCCTCCCCTGCATCGCTGCTCTCTCCCTGCCCTGTCCTCCTCCTCCAGGATACGGTGGTGAGGAGGAGGGAGAGGCGAGCTGCCGTCTCCTCCCTGCGCCGCGCTGGATTCACCCCAGTGGTCTGACTCAGGAGTGCTCTGAATAAATGCCCAGGAGGAAACCAGAAGAGGGGGAGCTAATCAGAGCCATTCTGTGTATAAATGTGCAGCATCTGCCAGCTGTGGTTTATAAAAAGCTAGATGCTCCACTGTTGTGGAAATTCAAAGGGATGTTGG